AAGCAAAAAAGTGTGTTTAACTACTAAAAAGTTTTAAAAAGTGAATAAAAATGTGAATGAAAAAAGCACGAATTTATTGATTGAACAAATTTTAAATTTGAGAAAAAAAGGCGCATTTCTTATTCTGAACTGCGTAGAGTCTAGGCTAGATCTCAACCGCTGGTTCAACCGCTCCCGCTGAGTTTTTTTCTCCAAAGTATATATCATTCAATTATTAGTCTTAATGAAATTTAGCTGTTCCTCTTGTTGCTTGCATCAACATAAAATAGACCTCCCCCACTGAACAACATTTTTTGTCGTCTCTTATTAAAAAAAAGACATTTTCGGGTTTCTAGCCTTTTTGGCTATACAGTTTATAAACTTCAAAGATAAATTAACCAAATCCAGGAAATAGAAAATTAGTAAAATTTGCAGAGACCTTTTAAAAAAACCAATTAATTAATCACACTTTTCAGCAAGTTCTAGTTGAAGTATCAATTAAAATATTGATTCTATTATTATATGTATCCTTGTTGTCTGGAAAAATGCCGAGACCTGAAAATGCTTATGGTGCAAAGCAATGGGTATAAAAAACACAAAGCATGTTGAAGAAAAACCTACAAGTAACAATTAATGTTCTGTGTCTGAATTTTATGAATTTGAGCAATGGCTTAAATCTGCCAGAAACCTGTTTCAATTGAGCGGGGGTATGAATCTTGGAAAATTGAATAAAATTTAAAGTGGAATCAACCATATTTGAGCCATTGCTTAAAATTAAACCATGGCTCAAATTCTTTGAATTAGGCCTCAGATTAATTTTTAATGAGCTTTAAGATAAATGTAGTTTGTTCCCTGTCTCCTCTACAGGCATCACCAACAGTTACCTGGTCAGTTTCTTCACCTTAAATAAATTTGATTTATTTAGAGCCTGCTAAAATGGTTGTGCTGAAAACAAAAACCTGCTGTTATATCGGAAACCCTAATTAATCATACAGTACCCTATGGTTGAGAGAGGTGGGGTAAATAAGGGTGGAAGGAGAGCTGGAAAAAAGGCCTAATGACAGCTTAGACCTTAGTTGTATTTTCCTGAATTTTTTAATCCAAGGCTCAAAACACTAATTGCTTGACTGGAGAAATGGTCCCATTAGCAATCACTTACAGAAATATGTTTGTTTACCTAATGCGCACAGTTGATTACCTCTAAAACAAATCAGTGTTTGTTTAACTTACAAAACAAAGTTATAGACATATAAATCCTCATACTTGTATTTCAAGCAGATTTGTTGGGCTTTGGTCTTTTTCCATTTGCTCTATGGCCACTTGCTCTATAGTTTCAATTGCTCTATTCTATCATTTACTCTTTGTGTATTTTGCGCTATCCATCATTTGCTTTATATCCACCTGCTCTTTTTTCATTTGCACTATAGGCTTAAGAGCAAATGTTAAATAGAGCAAATGGAACTAGAGCAAATATTTTAGTGCCAGAATTGTCTCCAGGATATCTACTGTTTTCTTACCAAAGTTTAATATTGAAAAGGATTAGACTCTTAAATTTAGATTTTTAGCCTGTACATCCACTGATTTTTCCTGATGGGCCATTTTTGGGTTCCTGCCCTGTTCTCACACTTCATGATTTGAACTTCTGCTTTCTTCAGTCTTGTTGTTGAAAGAGTGTTACCGCTAGAAGAAGAAATATAGTTATTAACAATTGCTTTCCCAGTTCCCCTACTTCAGGTGTTTGTATAGTTGTCTTTGATGACTATGTGGAGGTCTATGAACATCGAATTCCAGTCCGGAAGCTCTTGATTCCAAACCAAATATATTCATAGTAATTAAAAAGCTCATGTTGTACTTTTAGAATTCAATATATTTACAGTTCGTTTATTTGGTCTTATATATTCGTCAGTACAACTACTCATTTTAAAGAAACTTGAAAATCCCATGTTGGAGAGTCATCCATCTCTTACTTTAAAATAAATGATTTAAAAGCACTTGTATAAGATTCTGATGTGATCGGTGACATGGAAACGCCTCAACATGGAAACGACTCAACACGGAAATGGATCACAAATTATTTTTGAGGCATTTCCGATTTTTTTAGAAATTCAAGGAAATCCCTCAAAAGTTCAGAATTGTTGAGGGATTTCCGAATATTTTGTATCCGTTTCCCAATATTTAGAGTTGAATGGTTTCCTTTTTTTTTGATCAATTTCCTCATATTTTTATGCCTGTTTCCTCATATTTTTGATCCGTTTCCGCTTTTTAAAAAAACTTTAAAAATCACATTGAGAAAACCGATCAACAAATTGAGATTTGTAAAGTTTTTTAAAAAGCGAAAACGGACCTAAAAATTGAGGAAACCGATCAACAAAATGAGATTTTTAAACGGATCAAAAATTTGAGGAAACCGATGAACAAAATGTGATTTTTAAAGTGTTTGAAAAAAGCGGAAACGGATCAATAATATGAGGAAACAGATCTAAAATTTGAGGAAACCGATCAAAAATATGAGGAAACATATCAATTTAAAAGTTTTTGAAAAAAGTAAAAAAATGAGGAAACGGACCAAAAATATTGGGAATCCCCTAAAAAATATTGGGAAATCCCTCGAAAATATTTGAATAAAATAAAGGGGAAATGGATATACAATTCTGGGAAATTGATCAAAAAAAATAGGAAACTCCAAAATTTGAATTTAGAGGGATTTCCGAGTATTTTTGATCCGTTTCCGTGTTGAGTCGTTTCCGTGTTGAGGCGTTTCCATGTCACCGATGGGATCATTTTATCATTAGAAAAGCAACATAGAGAGGCAAAATTATCAACTAAAATAAAATTCTAGAAATAGAGAAATTTGAGATGAGATGAACTTTCTACTTTTTTAGATTATTTGCAACAGGCACACATTTAGTATAAGATAGTGTATTTTTAAAGCAATATTTACCTTTGTAATCCAAAGCCCACAACATATGCCATCTTACCAATCACTAATTTATTAAACACTGTTTCATACACTTTTGTGAAGAGTTGAAGATACAAACAAGTGTGGCAGGTTAAAAGAAAGGAGTGACTATGCAAAATCATTGTTTTTTAAAACCTATTCCGGCGGGGGGGGGGGGCAAATTTAACCCCCCCCCCCCCCCATAGTTTTTTTACATAACTCAAAAAGTATTGATCTGAGGCTGTTAAAAAATTTTGACTTTTCCAGCTGTAGGTTTAAGACCGGGCTTTTTATACTAACTGCCTGAGTCCCCTGTCACACTGCCTGAATGACCACTTTTTCCTGTAACAATCTAAATTTTTGTTTTGACACACTTTCGGTTGTCAGATTTTGATAATTTTGATCTTTTTGAAAAGCCTCTGACATTAGGAAGCGGATTTTGAAAAGATATGTTTGCATATTATTTGCATACAACCCATCAAAAAAAATTTGCACTTTTTTAGTTTTTCTTAATTACACATCATCTTATTTAAAATTTAAAAAGGTTTATGCATATTTCAAAAGGTATGTGGTCAAGGGTTAAACTGTATTTATCATTTTTTGGACATTTTATTTTTGCCAACATTTTTACAATATAACTGGATTTTGCAAAAAAATTACAATTTTTGCAAATTTGAAAATTTGTTGGCAGATTCCAAAAGCAGAGCACAAGAGCTTTCCAATGATGTATTATTTGTCATTTTTGGACATCAAGCATGATTTGGAGGGGGGTGTCAAATTGATCCCCTCCCCTCCAGCGTATCCTGGTTTTTAACCCTATTCCTGTTGGGAGGGGGTCAATTTTTTTACATAACTCAAAAAGTATTGGACTGAGGCTGTTGAAATTTTCTGACTTCTCCTACATACCCAAAGCCGGGCTTTAATACTAACTGCCTGAATGACTGCTTTTTCCTGTAACAAACTAAATCTTTGTTTTGACCCACTTTCACTTGTCAGATTTTAATAAAATTTTGCTTTTTGAAAAGCCTTTGACATAAAGAAACGAATTGCAAACAACCTGTCCAAGGAAATTTGCAAATTTTTAGTTTTTCTTGATTTAAAATCAGGTTATTTTAAATTTTGCAGACATTTTTGCATATTTGAAATGGCATGGTCAAGGGCTTTTGAAAATATATAATTTTTCATTTTTTGGACAAATTTTTTTGCAAACATTTTTATTATTTAACTGGATTTTGCGCTAAAAATTCAATTTTTCCAAATTTGAAATTTTTTTTTTTGCAGATTCTTAAAATAGAGCACAAGAGCTTTCCGATGATGTATCATTTGTCATATTTGGACATCAAACATGGGATTTAGAGGGGGGAGTCCCCTAAGAGATCCCTAAGTTGCATCAAAGGGACTGCTTCCTAATTTTGGAATAGTCCCGAATACAACAATAAGATGAAACAATAAAATATTTACCCTGTTTTACTTATTCCAATAAAATATTCAACCTATCATTGTATTATGATTAGATACAAGAGACGAGTATAGTGGGGCTGTTACTGAAAATATTTAAACTCGCGAGACCTTATGTCTTTGAGAAATGACCCATAATATAAACTTATATTAGATGCAGGGTACTCAACATCAAAGTTTTCGCCTATAATGGGTTAAGAAAATAAATGTTTACGATGTCTGATCCTGAAGGCTGGAGTGGAAGACAAATAGGCATAATGTGAGTGCAGGCAGTATCTACTCTTGAGCGTAAGGTTAGCACAGCTAAATCATTTCCTAAATTATTGTAAAATCAAAGAGTCAATTTTACATTGATAATGAATTTTTTTGCAAAAATTCATAAAAAAACTTATATAAATCTAGCTTTAGAAACAGCATACAATGCAGGCATGTCGAAACAGTGACAAAAAACTCTTGTTTTGATCAAAACTAGGGTACACCATACAGGGGTGTAAATAAATAGCTTGACTATTCACCGTCCAGTCTTCAAGGCAGAGTTCAGGAAATTAAAAAGAAAGCTGGTGCCTTTTTATTCTGCTCGTGAAAACTGGTTGCCAGGCAACATACAGCTGGATGTCTCAAAAAAAATTAATGTTTCTTGAATTTTTAAAATCAGTCAAACATGATGGATGATGCATAAAGAAGAAGAAGAAAACAAGAAATTTACAAATGGCAGAATATTTTGTTAAAATGCAATATACAATCCGAAGTTCATACTGCCGCAGAATTTCTTTTGGAATCTTTTGAGCTTAGGACTATCCACCTTAGTGATCAAGGACATCATTTCCTTGATCCTTCTACAGACCCACATCTACTAATCCGGTGACAATAAATTCTCAGTTATTTGTACATCGACATCATCTATCCACTTAAAATTCAAACTCAAAAATAAATGTTGAAATGTTTAAAAAAAGTCCAAAACAGTTTGACAACTTTTTGGTTCCACTTTCAACTTCATATTCCACTTATTTTGGAGCCCATATTTTAAGTTGACTATTAAAGAAAAATCATCTTTTTCTCATTATTTCTGTACTGAACTAAACAACTTCAATTTTTAAATCAAAAGAACTGTTGCTCTTTATTGAATTTTCTAAGTTTATAAAAATTATAACTAAAGAATTCTTGTCAAGTTATTAAAGTTTTTCAGTAGTGTAATTTTATTTTCATTTAGTATCAACACTAATATTGAAGAACTTGTGTTAAAATTAAAAGGCAGCACTCAGTTAAGTTATAATGTTCCTGTGGGGATGTGTAAAGGGAAGGAAGAAGTAAAAAAGTGTGTTATCAAATAACACTACAATTTTCTGTCTCACCCCCCAGAAAATCCTTTTTCTGGGGGGGGGAGGGCAACTTCCTAAGTGATAATTTTTTAAGTGGCAACTTTCCAAAGGTTAGGTTATGCCTTCTGAGGGGCCCCAGGCTGCAATTTGGGCCGAGTGCTGCAGCTAGGATGGGTAATGGGGCCAACCGCTGTTGATAGAACTGGCTAGGGGCTGAGTGCTCAGCTAGGACATACAGGGTGTCCCACAAAACATGACAGTAGCAAGATAACTTTAAAGTCGTCTTTGATCTTGGAATTTATTTTTGACATTAAGTTGTCAACCTACTTCAACATGTATGATTTTTAAAACAACAACCACAAAATTCTCCTCGTTCTGGGATTTCCAAAATGTGGTCTGCCTTTTTTGTTCTGTAAATATTACCGAATATATTAAGAATTTCGTTCAGATTTCAACTTTGTTAAATTAAACAAAAATGGTCGACATCTGAATGAATTTCTATATATCTTGGGTAACATTCAAAGCACTAAAAAGGCAGACCACATTTTGGAAATCCCAGGACTAGGAGTATTTTGTGATTATTGTCTCTAGAATTTTATTTTCGAAATTAGATAGGCAAATAAATGTAGCAAATCATATAAAAAATCAAAGACAACATTTAAGTCATCTTGCTACTGTCATGTTTCGTGGGGCACCCTGTACTTGGGAAGTTGCTGCTTGTAACATTGCACATTTGGAAAAATGCCCTTGGGAAGTTGCCACTTGCAAAAATGCATTTGGGAATGTACCTAAAATCTTATTTACAGCCATACCAAGCTAACCTTGAAATAGTTAACATGTATTACCTTGCAAAATGCCATTTTGTTGTGTTTCTTTTACCCAGCCTGGATCAGAATGGTGAAAAAATTTTTGTTTAATTAATTTTATTCCAATATTTGATCATAATTCATACCTGGGTGCAGATCAAGCTTCTCTAGAGTTTTTACTTCTCCATATCCTAAAAATATATATTTTTTAAAGAATATTCCTGTTAAAAATACAAAGTTTGAACCAGTTTCAACTTTTTGTGTCCCAATTGTAATAAACCCAGGAAACGTTTTAATTGCCAATAGCAAAAATTGTTCGTAAATAATTTATAACTTCATATGTTCAACATCAGTTTGTCTAAGACTAAATGTTTGCAGGGAACCCAAAAACTTGTAATGGTTCCTAAAGAAGTTAAGAATAAATTTGTGTAAAAAATTTTAAAAAGACATAATTAAAACCACTATCAACTCTCCATGTCACAAATTTAATAAACCTAAAAACCTGTCATGAGCCACCACTATTTCCCCTGCCATACCACCACATTTGACTCTTTTGGGCATAACTACTTTTTTGGTATATTAAGAGCCTTTAAATAAAGATTTTCAAAAATCCAGCCACATCACGCAAAAAACACAATTCAAAGCATTTTTTTCAATTCTACATAAGATTAATATATTGTCTGTTGAAAATTAAATTGTTTACAATCTTTAAGCAGGTAACCCAAGTCATTTTTCGTATTGTGGGAGCAGAGACAAATTGTTCAGGGTAGTCTGAAGAATATGAAAATATTCTAAAAATCACAATATTTACTGTCATTGCTTAGGTGTTACAGATTTGATAAAAAACTGTTTTTTCAATTTGATCTTAGTACATTGCATATTTTCACACTAGGGTACCCTTCAAAACTAAAGTCTATTTTATGGTACGTCATTTTAAATATTGATATTGCTCTCAAAAATAAGCCATTTTTCAGAAAAATGAGAATTTACATTTGCAAAAAAAAGTTTTGCAGTTTACATTTAAATGAATCATCCTTATTTCATATAAACCCTGAAATATAAAGATTTTAATATATATTTATTGCGTGACGAGGCTTGATTTTTGACAATCACACTTTAAAGACCCTTAATATACTATTTAAAAAAGTAGTTCTGCCTGGAAGAGTAAAATGTGATGGATTGGAAGGGGAAATAGTTGTGGCTCATGGCTGCCGGAAGAGAAAAAAGCTAATATGTGGCCCGGAAGGGTAAATAGTGGTAGCTCATGGCTGCCTGCCTTCCCCCACTCATGTGAATTGTACTTGCAATTCTGTCAATAAAGGATCAGTTGTAATTACATAATTTTTTTTTTCAAAATTTCATAAATACACCATTCATAGTAGGCCACAAAAGTAAAAGAAAAGATTAAAACTTAAATATGCTTGAGGACAAATTTTTTCATTTCCTTGTTGTTCATTTGTGCAATTAAGATTAGAGGAAGGGGAAAAAATTAGTGTCAGGGAAGGTCTTTGAAGGAAAAGTTAAGAAGGTGTTTGTATTTGGGAAATTCTAAATTTTCTCATCTAAATCAGATCGTTCAGTTAGAAATAAGAACTCATCAAGTAATAATAAATTGACCTAATTCAGCAGAATCTGTCACACCCAAGTAAACCAGAATATCATGCTCTCCAAACCTGGAAAATAAATGGTAGAAAAAGGTAAGCAGTTCATCAACTTTCCACAAACTTTTGAGGGTATAGATGAACATGTGAATGGGAAATGATAAACGAATATAGCTTTCCCGACTTTTTACAAATATATCCCTTGCTGCGCTTTGTATGTTTTGAAGGCAAATTTGGTCTTGGTATAGAAACATTCTACTACCTTATTGAGTATTTGTAAATAATTATAACTTAATACAACTTGTTTTTCCTTTAGCCGGGAAAAATGCTTTTATATCTTGAACCTGATACAGCCCGAGTTGGTGCATCCTACATCTGCTCTGCATTGCTTTATCAAAGAATCAAGACATCTTTCAAACTTCTGTTTCCCTGTATTTTAACCAGGGGGCAGGCATAACTCTCCTAATTTCGCCTGGCTAGGTTTATACTGTACAGTGAAATTTGTCGAAAAATGTTTCCTTATGACTGAGTTGGTATCATAGAGTACAGTGGGTTTAATCCTAAGTACATCTATTTGTACGAGCGGGGGAAGGCAGGCGGCCATGAGCCACCACTATTTCCTCTTCCGTGCCACATATTAGCTTTTTTCTCTTCCGGCAGCCATGAGCNTCTTATCTCTCGTTCAGAAAGGTTCTCTCTGTAAGCTGTCTGTGCACTGTATGTAGCACAGGTCCCTGGACGGCTATGTGCAGTGTGACTTGTGTCTACGCTGCAGCGGTCCGGGATGTACTGATCCATCTGGCTTCCTGTTGGATTCAAGGGACTGTTCACTCATATATCAAACAATCCGGAATACAACAATACTACTCAATTTTTTTGTGAAATTGTACACATCTTGTTTTGCAGTGTGCCATCATGCATCAGGTTGCAAAAAAGACTTTTAGCCAAACATTCATTTCCTTTTGAGCATTAAAGTTATATGAAAAAAAATGCAATTTTTATTCATCCTTTTACTCATAGAGTAATAAAACGAAGAGGTGAAGCTTAGCTCAGGTGTACAACCGACCTGTCAATTAATTAATAGACAGGTCGGTTGTGTACATCACGATATGTATACGTATCTAACACTGTACACTTGTATATAGAGCGATCGTATTTATAAGGAGTGGTTTAATATAGATATTTGAATATTAGTATTGATAATTAGATATAGACACTTAATGTGGATTGTAAACACAGGATTGTATACTGCAGTACATTCAAGTTCAGTTGTTTGTTTATTTCAATACAAGCATGTCTAAATATTGCACCGTGAAAGAGTGCCCCCGCCTGTTTAAGGTTAAGAGCTCCAGGTCGTCATCATTGTTTCATCTTTTGTGGGTAACCCTGCATACACTGTCATGTTTATGATAAAGAGTTGAAGAGAAGAAACAATAAAAAATGTCATGAAATAAGAATGTTTTAAGTTAAATTTATGCCCTAGAAACTTTTTGACAGAACTTTTAGTTAATAAATTGAAAACCTACAAATTTGAAAATTGTCAAATGTTTGAGTCAACATCCTGGAATTAAAGTGCTGTTTTTTTTCGCAAAAATGTAGTGCAAGGAAAGCAAAAATTTGCGTTTTCTTCCGTAAAAGTCTTGCGAAGGGAAACCCTACCCTCACCCCAATTAGAAAAAGTAAAACAAGCCATTGCAAAATGCAATACATGATCAATAAAGGATATCACGTTTTTTAATGCTGTTTTAACGATTAAACATTAGGCATAGCTATACTGTTCAACACTATGTTGTTAGCTTAGTTTATAGAGTTAACAAGAAAAGAGGTCAAAATATCGTAATAATCATTGTTTAAAATTACAATTTGATTCTTTTCCCTCAAGTGTAAAACTGTGAAATTTAACATGGCAGTTAACACTGTTGGACCAGTAGCAGTGGGCAGCTGTAGGAGATAAAATATTTAGAGGCATAACAGACATTAGTATCCTTCTTAAAGTCATAAGTGATTTCTTTTTGATTGTAGTATTATAAATAAAAAATATGAAAAGGTATTTTAGCGTTTATCTTTGAACTTCTAAACAGATTTGAAACCGATTTCAGGACTGAAGTTGTTTCATGGAAACTAGCACTGCAAAGAGAAAGATCTTGCATCTTCTATTAAGTTAATTTTAAATTTTTCAACCTGCTCCTAAGTTTAACATTAGGTTACAGTAGAATTAAGTCTGCATTTTTAAAGAGTGCAATTGAAAGCTACATGTAAAATTTAAGTCAGTCAAATTGTACCCTCCTCCCCCTCCCCCCTTCTTTTGATTTTAGTCCTTTTTTATTTCTTCCTGAGAGCACATGGCGATCAGTGATGAGTACACCTCCACATTTCATATGTTTTCCTAAAAAATTAGAAATTTGGTCTTTACCCCCCCCCCCCCCCAGCATTTTCATGGTTAAAGTTATATTAGCTAAATAAAAGATTGAAAAGAAATAAGAGATGTTCACAATGAAGTACTCACCTTGAAACTTAATAAGAGCATGCCATGGTTGCATCTCTGAACATGTCTCTTCTCCTCCACTGATACGGCTTGTAGGGAATTCACAAGAGAGTGATACTTTTCCACATTCATCTTAATAAACCAGTTAATAAGTGTTCAGTTCATTATAATTATCTTGTAAATATTGCAATTGTATTAATGTAAATGTTAGGTTATTTATGATAAAATTAAATTTTATTAACCTTGGGATTGTAAATAGACCACAGGCAGAAATAGGATCATGTACAATAGACATTTCATCCTAAATTTTAATGTTTCCATATTTCTAAATATAGTACTTGTATTAAATTAATGTGATGTCAAATTCCTGCAACAGGCCCAGGTAGGGTACTATTAGCATTAAATTTTAATTTGTTAAAGTATTTTTCTTTTTATATTATCTTTTTATATGTATTACCCCCTTGATAGTTCTGATTATGATGACTATGATATAATTATGTTTTGAGAGTAGGAAAATATTGTTTAGACCAAAATTTGCATTCATGACTAATGCAAAATGAAGTTAAACATGATTTTTTCTTTGTTTTGTTTTGTTTAATTATTTCAAATAATAAAGGTGTTTCATTTTTAGTCAATTTTGTTTTTAAAATATCAAAACAATTTTAAAAAATTGTTTGTTTTTATCTAAAACAATCCCATAAACAAATGTTTGTAATAAACCAAAAATGATTGTGTTAAAAATTTAAACTTTTACCTAAACAATCTAATCTTGTAACAGTATAATGTAAATAGAACCTGGCCCTGTCTCTCCTAGAGCCACTTTAGGAGACAATAAATGCTGTAATTATTTGTACTGAGCTGGGAACTTTTGAATGGTGGATATCGGGATTAAGGCTTAATCCACTCTTTTTCTTGATCTCCAGATTAACATAATCTTGCAAGATTATCATAAAAGTGTATGAAAAACGATAAAATTCAAATTAATATTTACTCATGTGAGAAACTGGAGCAGCCAATCAGAGAAAAGCGGGCGACCAATGAGAGAACAGAAATATTCTCATTGGAGAAAACAATTAACGGATATCCAAGGAGAGAGAAAAAGAGGATTAGAAAGAGATTAAGGACTAAAATGAAAAGTTTCCACAGTGGATATTCGGATCAAGAAGTCAGGATTAAAGTTTATCCATTCTAAAATTTCAGCTCTGTTTGAATATTACTTTGAGCTACTGTAAGAAAATACTGTTAGTTCACGCAGATAATATGTAATCATATTATTATTTACATATTTTGTCCTTGTAATATTACTTATATTATTACTTAAGATTAGGAATAAAAAGAGGAAATTTAGTATCATTATCTTGACATCTGGATTCTAGCTAGAAAGTTCATATTAACACTGTATTTCAATTAAATTATTTATCAAACTGACAAACTAAAAGCAAAAACTCTTTTAATAAAAAAAAAAATTTAAGATTAAAGAAAGATTTTGATTAAAAATATTTTATATTTTAAAATTTCCAAAATTCTTAAATTTGTAATGTCTTAATATGCATTATTATGCATATTACTTGTAAAGAAAGAACCCTCTAAAACTAGTTTGATTTATCACTAACCAGGAAACATTTTAACCGACTAAATGCGCCAATTGTAAAAATGTCACTTTTTTTCAAAATTAATGACACCTCTTTGTGACCTCGTAGGTCTTATCATTTATCTGGTTATATATTAATAATTTGAAACATTTTTGTTCTTTTTAACAGAAGTTATAATTGAAAACACTAAGATTTGAATTTTATGTGAAATTTACTTTGATGTGATGTCGGGTAAATAGTTCTGAAATTCATATGTTCGACATCGGTTTGTTGAAGACTAAATGTTTGCAGAGTCCCTTATAGCTAAAAGGGAAAGAGTATCATTTAGTTTAATCCCTGCTGGGATACAAATCCAGTTTTTAGCAGTGTTGTAGACATATGTTCTAATACTCATGTCATTTACTTGTGTTTATAGGTTTGTAACGAAACACAATTAAATAATTTTATAATTGTTTAGAAAGTGTGTTTTACGTTATTGTTTGACGTGTTCTGTAAACATTTAAACCATTTTTTTGTGAATAAACCAAGTAAGATTTCATCTCATTTCGATCATGTTTGATCATCTTTGAAGGATGGTAAGGAGAGATGCTTCAAGATGGCATTTTTTCAATGCAATATTTTGCAAATTAAAATGACGTTGAATAGTCCTAGGATCTTTTGGAGATATAAAGCTGCATCCTTTGATATTTGTAATTGCAGACTTTTTTTATGGAAAAAATAAAAAGCTAGATCTTTTAATGTTTAACTGCTTTTAGTTTAATTTTGTTCGTTTTTTAAGACTTTTAAAGTTTTTGGACTCAGAAGGGTCTCCACAAATATTTGAGGAATTTTATAAACTTAATTAAAGTAGCTTTTTTCTAAACATTTGCTTTCCTTACACTATTTAAAATATTGTTAAGATATTTACATGAACAAATTGAAAGACAACCCTTATGAACAATTTTTTAAATATGTTTTTGAGTTAGTTAATGCAATTATCTTCTCCCAGGGTGGTTAAAATTTTATATAGTGTAACAAAAGAAAATGTTAAGAAAAAACGAGTTTTAAAAGTTGTGAAACTTCTCAAAACTTTGAGGAACCTTTCAAAAGTTTTGAAGTTCTGAAGTTTAGAAGTTTTAAAGTTTTGGAGTTTTTAAGTTTTAAAGTTTTAAAGTTTTGGAGTTTTTAAGTTTTAAAGTTTTGGAGTTTTTAAGTTTTAAAGTTTTAAAGTTTTGGAGTTTTTAAGTTTTAAAGTTTTAAAGTTTTGAAGTTTTGAAGCTTTGAAGTTCTGAAGTTTTGAAGTTTTGAAGTATAGAAAATTAAACTCGGAATTAAGAGTTTAAAGATTTGATTCATCCCTAGCTTTCTGGGTGCAATAAGAGGCAATTTAAAGGCGCCACATTTTCTAGAATTAGACTAAATACTTAAATTATATTGAACTAGATAGAACTAGTTAGTTTAATTTAATTAGATTATATTGAACTAGATAGAACTAGTTAGTTTAATTAAATTATATTGAACTAGATAGAACTAGTTAGTTTAATTTAATTTGAAGTTTAATTTTTTTTTGCATTCTATTGAGTAATTTGATGGTTTACTAAATTAATAAGCACTGAAATAAGCCAATTTTGGTCTACAAGAAACTCTGAATGCATAAATACGGACTTAACAGATTCCATCAATCTTCGCTGAAGTCTCCTTTGCATGGGTAACACTGTTCTTAACCCATCTATATATAAATTTGTTAGTTTAGACTGGACTAATCATTGAAAAACATCTGTTAGCATTTGTGTGAGGAAGAATGGGGGGGGACAAGCATAGTTTAAAAACCAAAGAAGAGGGGGGGGGGACTTTTTGTCTATATAGATTACTGTTTACGTTACAATATAAGGTGTGTTGTAGATGGCATACAACGTGCAACTAATATAACACAACAATCATGACGTGTCATTGTGAAAGACAATACCCGGCATGAATAGAAAAAAGGGATAACCACTTTGTGCATCGATCTTGTTTATAATATACTTGAACATTTAATATATCAACATTTTTTATTTTTTATTTTAAAGAGGGTTATATTTTTAATAATATTAAAACTTTGATTATGGTGCATCTTTGAATTTTGAGGTAAAAATGGACAATTGATGAAAAATGGTTTTATTTGAAGATGAAAGTTAAAATTGAGAGACACCAAGTGGTTACAAACCAAACTAAATAATTGAAAACGACATGCTTGAAGGACCAATCACAGATCAGTACGGCTTAGGATTCAACCAATAAGGATCACATTTTCTATGAGTCGAACTTCTCGCGTTCACTTTTCAGAGTGTCAGATTTCAATTGACTAGGTTGTGCAGGGGGGAGGTGGGGAAAGGCTCATTAGGGCACAAAAAAAGGAGGGAGTGGTACACACTTTTTCAGGAGAAATTCTCAGGATTTCCTTGGGGTGAAATTCCATTAAAATTCCCAGGAATTTATCGAAAATAATTCGCTTAATAAATTCCCCAAAAAATCCGTTATAAAATGGTGACCAAGTCCTTTAAGAATTTCTCAGGAATTTCCGGAGAAATTCTGAGGAACTTTGTGGGGAAAAATTCGGAAGAATTTCTTAGGAATTTCTCAAAACTGTGATCCCACAAAAATCTCTCATCTTGGGGACCAATTCTGGTGAATTTCTCGAGAATTTCCGAGGAATTAGAGTTACAGGAAATGATTTTCGATAAATTTCTCGGAAATTCTTCAAATAAAGTCACCACTGTTGGAGAATCTGGGGAAATTCCTCACTTGTGTTACTTGCTTAGCCCAGCAAAATGTGAAAGTGATGATGAGGTAATTGATACACAACTTATAAGAAGGTGATATTTCTAACACTAAATATAATTGAACATTTTACATATGAACATTTTTCATTTTCAATTTTTAAGAGGGTTTTATTTTTAATAATGTTAAAACTTTGATTATGGTTCATGTTTGAATTTTTAGGAAAAAATAGACAATTGATAAAAACTCGTTTTCTTTGAAGATGAAAGTTAAAATAAAGGGAAACCAAGTGGTTACTTAAGCTAAACTAAATCCTTAGATACCACATGATCACAGATCAGTACGACTCAGGATTCAACCAATAAGGATAAGATTTTCTATAAGGCGAAAGAGAGAAAAATGGTAAATATATCATTTTGACATATTTTTGTATATCCACATGATATAACCTTTTTAAGATAGCTATAGAGCCTAGGGGGGGAAACACAGTACAAAATAGGGTTTCCACGAAATGGCTAAATCTTTTGTGCAAAATTTGCGCTATTTTTGCACATGAAACGCAATGAGTTTTGTGCGGTTTTGCGCTATTTTTTTGCGCAATTATGTAAAAGTGACCAATAGGAAGACATAAATTCCAAAATTTTTCCAGAATTGAATTCTAAGAAACACACACGTCGTCCCAAACCGTTTTACTTTTACGAAATTGCGTTGCGGAATTGCGCAAAACTTGAGTTTCGCAAAAGCGGAATAGGGCAATTTTGCGCGAAATGACTTTTGCGAATGATAACGCAAATTGCTGTTTTTTTTCGCGCAAAACTGATGCGCAAAGAAAGAAAAATTTTGCGTTTCATTCCGCAAAAATTGCGCAAAAGTTTTGCGAATGGAAACCCTAGTACAAAAAGAGAATTGTTAGTCTGGCAAATTGTTTAAAAAGAGAATAAAAAATGGTAAATTTAAGAAATACAATTGAGGGATATTAACTGATTTCTCTCAATAAAGGGATTAATCTTAAAATAGTGCTTCTAACAGGATTCATGACCTGCAACCATAAGAACAATTTGAAAATTACAAGCGAAGATTTGCAAAAAGCAATGGTTACTTATTATTACTAATCATACTTGAACATCTAACATATCAACATTTTTCATTTTCATGATTTTTAAGAGGGTTTTATTTTTAATAATAATAAAACTTTGATTATTGTGCATGTTCGAATTTTAAAGGAAAAAAAGACAACTTAATGAAAACTGGTTTATTTAAAAGGATGAAGTTGAATGGAGAGACACCAAGTGGTTACAAACTAAACTAAAACCTTGGATACCACATGCTTGAAATTGACCAATTCACAGATCAGTACGACTCAGGATTCAACCAATAAGGATAAGATTTTCTATGGGTCTCGGGGTCACTTTTCAAAGGAGTAAATATAATAGTGAAGTAAAGAAATAGAATTTCAAATAGAGGAATTTGGAAATGTCCAGCCTAACCTGGATATCTGTAAATATTACAACAATTATGGGGTTTCCCAAAAAAAACGGAAGCATATAATATAGGTAAGTCAAACAGATACAAAACTACGAAAAATATGATCATAATATTAGATATACTTTAACTTTTTAATTTTTCAACATTTTTCATTTTTATTTTCAAGAGGGTTTTATTTTTAATAATAATAAAACTTTGATTCATGGTGCAATTCGAATTTTAAAGGAAAAAAGACAAATTAATAAAAACGGGTTTATTTAAGGATGAAATTTTAATGGAGAGACACCAAGTGGTTACAAACTAAACTAAAACTTTGGATACTGCATGATTATAAAGGACCAATCACAGATCAGTACTCGACTCAGAATTCAACCAATAATTGGATCAGTTTTTAACTTTGGGTTGAACTTCTCGCGGTCATTTTTCAATCAGAGTGTCATTACGTCAGATTGCAATTGACCAGGTCGTAGCTAGGGGGGAGGGGGGAGGCTCATTGGGGCACAAAAATAGGAGGGAGGGATATTACACTATTTAAGAAAAAAAGAATTGAAAAATAAAAGTTAAAAGGAAGGGAAAAAAAGGTGAAAGAAAGATAAAAACGAAATGATCAATTATTTTCTCGTAAAAACCTTATAATACCTTATTTACACGAAAATGCAAAAAACGGGCAATGTTGGCCATTAAAATAAATAAAATATAACAGAAATTCCTCAATATATGCATTACATCATATATTTGCGTATTAATTTCATTTGACTAATTATAATCTGTTTCTTGAAGAAAAAAAACATGTATCACTGTATTGAAAGGACCGGAAAATGAATATTATTTTGACTAATTTCTTGTCTGAAAATCAGACTAGACCCACACTAAAACCTCGACACTCAGCTCAGTCACTAGTCAGTAGAGTTAAACAAACAAAGAAATCAGATTCCGATTAGACTTAAAGGATTTATATCTGTTCAGACAACTTCTGGATCTTTAATAAAGCAGGTAATTAAATTTTAACAATTACTTTATAAAATAAAATAGTTTTTACGAACTGTAAATTGGTGAAAAATATGTATTTCGCATTTCTAAGTTAGAGTTGCAGAGATGCGCAAAACTATGCGCAGTTTCCTAAATTTTGAACGCGCGGTTTTTAAAATGTATTTCGTCATATATATTCATGTCAAGAAAATTTTCTAGTCTCTACACGGTTTCATGAAACGTTATATCGTCAACTTTTACATATTTTTTATCTTAATTAAAATTTTTAGATTGTTAATCTTGAAGCTTTTTACATTTTAGCTTTAACTCTGTGAATGTCGTCTTATATCTAGTAAAGCTCGTCTTCGTTTTAAAATCCATTTAATATTATTAATTCTGATAATTATTGTTCTTGTAGATTATGAGCGAAATGAGTATGCAAGACGTTGAATTAGATTTTCTGAGTCCAAGAACACCCCCTCCACCTAGGATTCTTGGTTAGTTAACTTTTTTTGAGGGGGGGGGGGAGGTTATACTGTATTTTTATATTTAATATAACAAAACTGAATGGTGGAATTTTTGTAATCTAGAGGGGGGGAGGCCATTGAAACCTTGCCACTTTTAGGGTATACACAATACATAAAATAGCTTTTTCTTCCTAGTTCTTAAATAATCAAAGCTGAAAACTAATTAAGAATGGTGGATATTGAGATCAATACTTGATCCTCTCTTTTTCTTAAAATATCGAGACTAACCTAATCTTGTACTTATCCTGAAAAGTGTATAAAATTCAACCAATCAGAGTCGCATATACGAAGCCGATAAATTTGAAATTTTGCGCGCCATTTAAGATGATATACAGAAATGGGAGGGTCTCTCTAAATTAAATAAAAACGGTTTATGATTTTTCTCTACTATATCCAAGAAAGAACGGTTTAAAAAGAAAATCAAAAGTGTGTCCATTGGATACTCTGATTAAGTAATTGGGATTAAGGATATCTCGTTCTACAGCTCTGAGCATGGAACTTTTGAATGGTGGATATCGGGATTAATGCTTAATCGACTCCTTTTCTTAATCTCAAGATTAAATTACGCATGTTCTCCTCTTGTTATTAATCTTATTCTAAAGTTTTCAGATCTTGTTCCTTATAAAGTCTTAAGTTTATCTTGGAAATGTGCAATTTTATTCATGATAAGCAATTCACAATTTAAAATAAAAGCAGTTTTTATCAGATCTTTGATGTTAACAGTTTATTGAAATATCTGAAGACCTATGGAATAACTTTAAGCTGTCTTCCGAACTAAAGATATATCTTCCCCTGCAAAGTTGAATCAGAGATGAACATAGACAATAATGCTGCTTATAAAGAATGCAGAATGTGATAAAATTCTATTTAAGAGTTTAAACTATTTCATAAATCTCTTTGGCATACAAAATTGTTGTGAAATATATAAAATTGATTGAAATGGGTCAATGCAAATAAATAAAATATCTTTTTGAAATAATCAGGGGCAAGTCTATGAAATGTTCTGTCTATGAAATGTTCAGTCTATGAAATGTTCTGTCTATGAAATGTTCTGTCCATGAAACGTCCTGTCTATGAAATGCTAATGTTTTTATTTAGGGAAAAGGCAAGCGGCGACGGAGGGCGAAAGGACGTAAACGAAAAAATCAGTCAAGTCTTATGATCACAAACGAGGATGGGACGGATTTTACCGGGAGCAGTGCTGTTAAGCACAGTAAGATAAATCTACGTCCTACCAATAACCCACTTCTCAACGCGCCGAAGAACTCGACCCAGTTTATTATTGACGACCATGAGAACTCGAATTTGTTTTGGAATTTTGAGGCAGGGCCGGATGGAGAAGCGGAGCAGCAGATGGGTCGTGCTGGGCAGTTTTTCGGGGAACAAGACAACGAGAGGTGATGAATTGAATGGATTTGACTAACTGATTCATTGACTGTTGAATGATTGATTGATTGTTTTTGATTTAATAGATGAAGGGATTTAATATTGGATTGATCAAGTTGTTGTATTGCTTGATAAAATATGATTTATTAATTGGTGATTGATTGAAAATTTTGTTTTCATTGATTCTTGAAACTTATCCAATTGTTAAAATTAATTTTGACTATATTTGATTTAAATATTTGAATTAATAGATTAATGAATTAGGTGATTGAGTTAGATATGATTATTAAACGAATTGATCTATTCAGAACTTCAATTTAACTGCAAGTTGATTTATGGATTGATTAATTAAACTATATTTTGTTAAATAATTGATATATTTAACACTTATGGATCAATTGTTGAATTACACCTAAAAACTTTTAAATTGGCGAGATGAGCTCAACTCATTTGACGGCTGGGGATTAACTGATCTGCATTCAAATATCCAAAAATAAAATCAGAAAAAGTTGTATAACATCTAATGATTAAAAAGTCTGCAAAGTTAAATCATTGATAGATCAGTTACCCTCCCCTCTAGAAAAACAAGAATTTAACTCATTCTGACAACTTATGAGTTTCTAACTCGATTTTTTTTGGCGCATTTATAATTATTTTTACTGTCAGGTATTCTCCAGACGATGAAAGTTTCTGGACGGAATACAGTGCTCGGGATTTCGAAGATGTTTACGAGAACGCCCACCAGGAGGAGATCTACGGCTGGGAGAAGGAGAGGATTGTCAGGTTGGGATTACACCTTATCATCCACTCTGTCCACATCTATTCTGACACTGCTCAGTACGCATTTAGCCTGAACACTTAGTACACATATATCTTAAAACCAGAAAATCTTTCTTGTTTTTTTATTATTGAATTTAAGGACCCTTGCTTGACCCCCCAAAAAATAAGCCGTAGAAAAAATTTTGAATGAAAAGTAAACTTTACATTTTTACTTTATTGAACAGGATCGTTAGAGAACTGTAATTATTATTTTTATTATATTTTTAGAGAGATAGCAGAGATGGAGGGGAGACAGAAGAAATTAATTGAAATGTTGGCAGCCATTGATCCTGTTATATACCTAGAGGTGAAAGATTGTATTTTATTTTTATTATTTTTATTGTTGATAAAATGATTCCATTCTCATTCACATATTAAACATCAAATCTAGGGTTTTAATTATTCGGGAATAGCAGGTTTCACTTAAAAAAAAACCTATGCTTTTTAAAATAATTTTGGTTGTTTTCGTTTGTTGTGGATAAGAATTGAGCACAATATCTTAATTACTTAAACCCTGTATATAATGTAGAAGCTGCAGCATGAGCTGATCTCCCTGCAGGAGGTAAATAAGAAGCTTAAGCTAATCAACATTGCAGAGAGACTTCACAGGTACTACTATCCAAGGGATTGTACACCTATTTTAAGAAAGAGCTTGTTCACCTATTATTTCAAAATTAAATCTCTTTTTTTACAAAGTTTCCCCTGAGTACCAGACTATTCGTAGTTTTGATGGTGGTAAAAACTAAACACAGTTTTAATTTAGAAAAGATAAGGTTTCTTGTTTTGTGTTTTTATAAGCTAGATTTTCTAGACCTTTCATCACTATTTGACCATTCGAGGTTTTTTTTTATCAAAATCTGAAAGTTATAAATTTTTACTATTTAGCAGCAAGCGAGTTACAAAAAATGATCAAAATTTGAATTGATGGAAGTTTTAAAATTTCAAACTTAATTGATAAATCATTTTTAGACAAGAGAGAGCAAATCCAGATGATTCAGTTTCCGACTCTTCCAACTCAGGTTCAGATTCAGACACAGATACAGACACAGATTCAGACTCAGATTCTGAATCTGATTCAGATCCAGACTCTGATTCAGACTCCAGGTTGCCAGACAGCACCTCTCAGGAGGGCGAGGCTAGAGACGAGGATGAGGTTGAGGATGGAGGTTGCTCTTCTGGATGTTGTCTAGCAGATCCCTGTGATGAAGGATGTCTAGATGATCAGCATCTGTCAGATGTAGAAGAAGATGATCAAGATAATAATCCTAGTCAGAATTTAGCAATTAGAAGTAGGTCAGTTAAACCCAATCTTTCTGTAGATAGTGTTCCTGGTTCGGCTCTTAGTGTAGATTATCTATCTACCCCTCCTCCTAAACAGGAGAGGGTTCAAGTCTTACCATCTACCTCTCTTGGAGTAGAAGAGACGGTACCTAACCTATTACCGTTTAAGCCTAGCAAAGAAGAGGATATTGCAGAAAACTCAATAGAAGTAGAATCTAATCAGATGGAAGAAGGAGGTGCACTTGTCACAGGAGAAGGGGACTTAATCTCCAAACCTAGAGAAGGAGATATGGAAGGAGTAACTCCTATAGAAGAAGCATCCAACCCCCAACCAATCTCCAAACACGGAGAAGGGGAGTTCAATAAAGAGGAATTGAACCATACACCTGGAGAAGGGGAAATGGAACACAATCTCTACCCTTCACAAGTAGAGAAAGTAGATGAAAATGAATCTAGAGATGGTATAGTATTCGAGAAATCCTCCATTTCATCTAATAATGAGACTATTGCATCCGACAATGAACTTAAGATGGAGGAAAATGGAGGAGTAAATGGTTTAGATGTTGTGAATTCAGGACAATATACTACAGATCAGTCAGAACTGTTAGAGCAGCTGCAATCAGGTTCCCTGCACTAACAGATACTGTTAGTACAGCTGTTATCTGGTGCCGCATCTGTTAGTACATTTATCAACAGATAACAGCATTCACTAGTCCTTAATTTTAAGTACTACCTCTGAAATGATCAATTGTTGAATTATAGTTAATGTTTGCAAATTGTGTCAATATTGAGTCAAGTATCAAAATAAAGAAGTTATTTTTTGTAAAAAACAATATTATTTGTGTAGGTAATCCTTAGAAAATGTGTGTTTTATGGGGCCGGGGAGGGGGGTGAACGGACAATTTACCAATTAAGCCAACTAGGATGAAGTGGATTTTAAATGCTCTCGAAGCTAGAAGAAACGAAAGCCAGACTTAAAACTAAAATTAATAATTTTACAAGGACGGTGGCGAGTATTGCTGCTCTACTATTTGATAGTTGTAAATCTGGAAAATGCCATTTTTGTCAGATCGTAAATAACTAATAGAAGGAAGACGACTTTTTATATTTTCTGTAATTTTTTTCAGAAAATCAGACTAGTAAATGCGGCAGGCCCTTTATTCTGATTGGTCGATTGCAATCAATGAATCAAATGGTTCAACCAATCAAAACTGATTACACGTACCTTAGATATTTTCTGCTGTAAGGAACTTTTAAGAAGATTTAGAACATTGATTTATTTTTGAAAATTACATTGATTCGAAATATTGATGAATTCTGTTTCCCGTTCTTGGGGTCATCAACATTACTTGTTGGGGTTTGCAGTTTGCAGATTTCGTTAATGTATTAAAATGAAATTAAATTCGTTCAAAAATTGTACCTTTTATATTTCGATCCCGCCGGTTTCCAATATTAAAAACAATTTTCAGTTTTTCCAAAATGCAGAGAAACGGAGGGAAAGGCAGCCAAGGGGCTGAAAGGAAAAATACATCAATTATAAATCTCTTTTCCGCTCTACGAGAGAAACAGCAGAAGGTAACCCCCGGCACCTCCCTTATTTTTTAAAACCATCCTGCTGCCCCCTCCTTTTGGAAATCATTTGGTAATTTCCGAGAAAACTATTTTTGGACCCAACGCCCCCCCCCCCCTC